GTTAAAAGGGGGGGGGGCTATAGAGGGAAGTTCGTCATTCAATATGGCGTCTTCATCACTTTACGTCTGTAGCAATACTACAGAACTAGAAAAACGACAAACGGATCAGTAAAAGTTTGGAAACGACGTTATTCGTCATATTTGGCAGTTTGTTAATCAGAGACACACGACACACATCCCACACTGTCAATGTTTTTGGAGCTAATTTCCTTATTGAATGACACACATGTATGGGAAAAAGTAGGCCAGCGCAGAACATGATGAGTGTAAAGACGAAGGAAGGATGAAGAAATGAAGACAGAGACAGCATAGAACAATAAAATCGTATATAATATTATAAAACAATAGTTGATGCTGTGCTACCCCCCCCCCAACCCCTAAAATCGACAATAATTAAATCATACAGGAGGCGGGCTGCGTCGACTTTGTCTGTCTTGACAACCCAGGATGAAAGGGATACAAAGTCTCTACAGACAGACGGAAACATTGAGTTAAAAAAAAAAAAAAAAATTTAATCTCTCCCCAAATGGGAATCGAACTGAACTCATGTCTTTTGCCTAATTGTTACGGTGCAATGTCTGACGGCTACACTACAGATTAACGTCAATGAACACTATTGATATGCTGGTAGGCAGTTTGCATCTATCAGACATGGATTTGGAAACCAATAGGGAAGAGAAAGCGGGGAAGACCAACTGGGAGCTATAGAGGCACAATAAGAGATTAGGCAATCACCCAAGGCCAGGATGTACCGAAATTGAAGCACGTGGCCAGGGACAGACAAACGTGACGTCGACTGCTCTCTGCCTTATGTACGGTAATAGGGAGAGAGTTACGTAAGTAAGTACTCGTATCTATACGTTCTCTGACTCGTATACATAGTTGCAGTGGGGTGCTGGAGATGCCTGTTCGACTCCTCAGGTGACAATTCTTGAAGTTACGTAGTTTTGAGTTTTTAAAGCTCCCATTTCTCGTATCTCAGTTCTATCGGAGATGAACGTTAAATCACAAGCCTCGGGTCTAACACATCGGTACTGTATTTCAAAAGGGGCGCTTAGCTCGTTCATTTGTACAGCACAAACCACACTACACACCAGAGGTGCACTCTTTTCACACTGAGCAGAACTTGTTTCAGCTTTTATTCCAAACCAGTAGAGCGTCCTCAGTCCCTTTAAAGGATGGAAGGATGGATGGATAGATAGATGGATGGATGTAAATGTAAATCAAACCATTACACAACATGTAGATTTATCATTATATAGCAAACCACATCATAGCACCCGCCAAACACTCACGGTCATAATAGAACATACAGAGATAAATAAGATAATTTATGTATATACATAT